TTTATGAATATGAACATGTTTGATGAACTAGTTTAAATCTTATTAATGAATTAACATTTTCTACGCCTTCCTACGATGACTAGGTGGAAATCAAGCTGATAAAAGACATGATATGTCATGTTCTTGATACAAGGCGTGATATTGAACAGCGTCTCATTGCTTGCAAGGCCAAGTATCAGGGGGATGAAGCTTTCAAAGCTCTTTCTGGTGATCTGAATGACATATTCAGATTCTCTACGCAGCTTGATTCAGATCACACAGCAATAACTGATAATGTAGACCCGGCAGCTGTTGGTGAATCAATCGATATAGTTGTTGGTAAACGTGCTGGCCATGAAACCCCGATTGATATTGAACTGCATCAGTCACCATTATCACAATATTGGCTCAGTCAAACGTTGCATAAGATATGTGATGAAACAGTCGAGAAATCACTATCTAGTAAAAAACAGAAGCAGTCATTACATTTACGGCCTCCACAGTTTGACCTGGGAATCAGCCCTATAAAGACAGCAGAACCGTCCACTGTCACAAAGCCAAGCTCAAAGGACAAAGGGAAAATTGTATGCATCGTTGATGATGCAAAGTTGAAGAAATCAAACCGGTTCACCGGATGTCATCGGAGGAGTGTTCGCTTGGGCGATCACCTAAGATCACCTTTCGTTAGGCGTGCTATAGACATGAAGGTGAGTGCAGAAGATAGACGCATACACGAGTGGGCGATTGCAGAAATTGGATCAACCTTGTAAGTATATTTTTTTACCTAATATTCACTATCTTAAACAGTTACGAAATTGTATTAATATCACATTATCAATGACATATGTTTTGCCCAGTATGCGTATGTGTTATGTTGCACATCCACAGCGACATTGTCTTCGAATTGGAGAATTCCACGACCATCCTGCGATGGAATTTGGCAAGCCTAGCGTCCAAATGCATTGTTTACACAAACGTTATAGATGGATGGGCTGAATTGCTGAACATGGAGGAAATGTTCAGAAGCCGTGACTCACCTCGTCATTTTTATTTCAATACGACTGTGTTGGTAAGATTTATAAGATTAATCAAGTTATTTCAAATGAAAGAAAACATGATTTCATGAATGTTATCTGACTATGTGAATACCACACAGGGAGATCCGAAGCTACGGACTCAGCAGGCTGATTTTAATGTTCAGTATGACATTTTCAGCAAGAACCTAGCTAAATCAGTTCGCTTCGACATGGAAGTTATTAAAATGCGAAATATGGATCTGGTATACGCAACATTTAATTTTTTCTTACATTTAAAATTACGTAGACAATTTTTTCATCATGACCTTACGTAACCTTTAAACACACACAGGCATTCTTCCCTGTTATGGACTGTGGTCACTACTACTTGGTGGTGTTTAATTTCAAGAACCCATCAATCGTTGTAATAGACAACCAATTTTGGAAAGGATGTTAGATCGAAGATGATTTGGGTTTGTATGAACACGTTGTCGACTTATTAGTATGTACTCTAACTACACATTCACTCTCATACTTCATATTTCTTCCCAAATTATATTTTACAATTGATTATTTATTTGTCCAGCATCGGTTTATGATCAAGCACCTAAGAGCCGTAGGCCATCCGAGCTGGCAAGAAATGGATGAAACGGGTCATGACCGCTTGGAAATGAGTTGGCAAACTAAGGACAATTTCAAGGATGGAGGTGTGTTCTTGATGAGGCATATGGAAACTTGGATGGGAGAGGAAAGGTCATGGAAGACCGAGTTCACTACAGAAGGGCAGAATCAAAGAACCCAACTAACTGATCTAAGGAAGAAATACACGACAAAGTTAGTACTCAGCAACTTCAGCAAAAGAAGGGAGTCAATCGTGAGAGAGGTTGATCAGTTTCATGCAATGGATCCCGAAGATAAAAAAAAGCAATAGAACAGGCAAAAGCAACAAAAAGATCTGCCATAGGCGTTATCGTTTAATCGTAGTTATCAATGGATTTACAGTTGGTTCACTAAGGATACTTTTTTTGGGGTTTTTTTTAGGTTAGCACATGAATTTTATTGTGTTTTAAGTAGTAAATTATGCGTTGTTCATTTTGGTTTGACTAAACTGATGTTGTGTTTACAAGTACTAAAAAAATTGATACGCTTTGTAATGCTTAATATTCTTTCTGTTAAACTCAATTGTCATTTTTTTGCATGTTCGTCGTACTTGTGTCATATCCCTTCATCATGCATCATATTTCAATTTACTCAACCTTCTACAATTCAGTATTACAATGGTAAATTACTAATGCAATACATAGATTTTATGATGCAACAAGTTCATGAGAGCGATGAAACTAGTTCGTGAACTTGTTTCGTGGCCAACCACGTTTCAGGAACATGTTTAAAATGTTTCAAATGAAACAGGTCCATTAAGACCAAA